ACCCTATAGCAACCCGTATGGGAGTACGAAAGAATATTTTTGCTGGGAATAAAAGCTAACCTTTAGGGGCACATTTTCGTTATGAAATGAAAGTGTGCAAATTTCGATTAAATTTGAAAAAATATATATAATTATAACTTTTTAGTTTCACCCTATAGCAACCCTTGTAAGGGGCTGCAAACGAACAATTTCTCTGGAAACGAAAGCGAGAGATCTATTTAATTTAAATCAGTTGCTTCCTAAACTGGTTTACAAATGTCCGCCGCCCCTGGTTGTTCGGCTCTTTCCGTAATTTTGGACGCAAACTTTTAGCTGCTAACTTCACATCGCTGTAGCGTACAAGAAAATATGCGTATGCGACAAAAAGGAGCGCATAGTCGATTGAAATGCATAAAAAAAAACAAATTCTGCAAAATTTTAAAACGTAGCGCATTAAATATACTAACGGTTTTTGAACAGATTTACCACTTAGGTGTTACACGTTATAATTCTGCTATTTTAAACGGTATGAAATAATATCTGCTGTCTTGAGAACAATGTTGTTTGTATTTAATTGTTTTGCATTTATATTCTTTTGACTTGCTATAATGAACCTTGTACAAAAATAATCAATAAATGTATTTATTTATTACTTTTTACAAAACTTCTGGGTTCCTCCTGCGTCGGATTTTGCTGAGTGAAACAGTTTCAGTCAAGCGCTGAAGAAGCCAACAGGATGATTGGTGAAACGTCAGCAAGTTCGACTAAGCAAAAACCGACGCAGGAGGAATCCACAAGTTTTGTAAAAAGTATTGCAGTAGCATGTGGAAGTTTCTTTGAAAAACTATTTATTTATTTATTGTTAACTTCATTGTTATCAAATAGGGCATTGTTTATATTGCATAATGTTCTGTCAGCAAATTTTCAGTAGGTGTTTGTTAATTACACTTGATTTATTTTACATTGTCTTCCTCAAAAACTTCAACTTGTAAAAGTTCCCGATAAATAAAGTTTTATTTTATTCTATATATATATTCATATATCCAAAGCTGCCAAAGCTGGAACAATAAAATTCAATTCCTGAGGTGACAGCAATGCTGTCAGAATTCACGTTGATATTTATAATTCTGGTAGCTTTTGACTGAGGCAATTCTAAAATTTTCAGAGATCTGGAAAATTGAGAATTTTTTTATTATCTGACAACACTGCTGTTAGCATTTTTGAATTATGCACAACTAATCGTTCAATTATTGCATTCATTGGAAAAAATAAAGCACTGTAACAGTAGCTGTAACGCAAAAGTGGTAAGACTGACAACATTGCTGTTAGCGTTTTTGAACTCTGCAGGTTTAAAAAAACCCCAAGGCATTGAATTTTATCTTTCCAGTTTTGGCAGTTTTGAAGGTACATAAGCGTTTCGATATTTTTTACTAACCAGGGATATAGGTTACATACTGCGGATGTCTACCTGTATACCTGCTTAATATATTTTATAAATTCAGTGGCAATTTCATTCTTTCAAAACATTTACAATACGACAAAAAATGTATGAGTTTCTCAATGAAGTTGGCCGATTTTTTTTTTAATTTGCTACTCCAAATGAAGGGCTTATTTTACAAATTCACGAGAATTTGTAAAATAAATGAATGAAATAAATGAATTTTTCGAACATCTATCTAACTAATATCATTGTAGAACCTACCTTTGCATCGTTTCAGACAGAATTTTAATAAAATAATAATATTGTAAAATGAAAAAGCAAGTGCAAGGGTCTACATTGAACCATTGGCGCATTTGGCCAACTCTAGAAATAAACATCCTAATCAACATCTAGAACATGATTAATGAATTTTGGACAAAAATATATGAATGCTTTCTAGCAAATATGCTGTCCAGCAAATTAATGTCAATACGTCGAATTTCGCAGGCTTATCCATTGAATTTATCTCAAATCTTCTAGTTCTAATGCTGGTAGTTAGTTTGGATAGGAAATGTATTTAATTCGGCTTTAGTCAAATCTGAACATTTCTGCGCCAGAAATCTGACCGATAGCGGAGATCACGTAGAAACATTACAATTTATAGACCACACATTATTTGTATTCCTAACTAATAATTAGAAAAAATCATTATCATTCAATCATTAGCTAGTTTCCTAGTTGAATTAAGACTTTTGCCTTTGAGTGATTGGAGAGTTTACTGCTTAATTGGTATTAAAAGAGTCAAAAAATAAATTTGAGTATCTCAAAAATCATAGATTTTCTAATATCTTTATGCAAACTAATATTTAAGGACATGTAGTTAGAGAATAGTTTGTGTATCTATGGAGCGATCTGAAAGCGATCGTCTGGAGCTCAGTGTAATTAATTAAAGGCTCCTAAGTCTATCTTGAAGCGGAAAGTTTTGGATATAATTTGAACACAAGATAACGTATAAACTGTTTTTGGATGTTTTCTATGCTGTTAATATATTTAAAAATGATTGTTTGCTTGGATTGCGTACCGAAAAAACGTATTTCAAGTTTGACCTTTTAATTTTTGTTTCAATTGCGCAAACAATAACTTGGAGCCTAATGTTAACCCCAGATCATTTTTTCAAAGAAAAACATTATTTAAGCTGTAACTAAAAGCAATGTTATTTATGAGTCAATTCAGTAAAACCATTTAAGTTTGCTTCCAATTTTCAGCACCCTATGGACTATAACATATTTTATATAACATTATACGTATTAGAAACAATTTTTTATACCGTGTATCATGAGGGAAAAGAATAGGGGACCAAGGTAAAAGGTTTAGAATCTATATGGTTAACCTTAACACACTGATAACGTCAAACTGTAAGATAAGAGTGACACAAGCTTAAAACGCAACTCCTCTATCATGCAATTGGTTGCACTTAGCTTGATTTTAGATTTTGTACGAGTATATGGTCACTCCCCATATGTACTCTGAGCGGAATATCATATGGACGCAACACAAGTCTTTAAAGTGTTTCAGATATTAATCTACTTGTACTTTTGATACCATTTACAAATCTTCTGGATTCCTCCTGCGTTTATATACTGTTTGAAAGGGTAGTGGGGAAGCTAAAGGAGGTACTCGTAAAAATCTGAGTCGCGGTTAATATTGTTTGGTTGTTTAGAGGTTTCCATGGATTCTTGGAATTGTATTTGTTAGAAGAATTGTTTACCTGCAAGCATTTTAGTTTGGTGGAATAAGATTTGATGTTTCATGATTGTGTCCGGCAACTGCTGGTGAGATTATTTGTCGTAGGCTTCATTTTTTTTTAGCTTAGTTGATATAGATCGAAGATGTTGAAAGATTTTTGGACAAGTGGGAAATCTGGCTTTAACTTTTTCTTAATAAGTTTTGATATGCGATCAGGACCACAACGGCAAGTGTGGGACTCATTTTCTTTGGGAAATTGTGATGCCGTGTAAATCAAGGAGACGCTTATTATAGGAAAATACAGACTACTGTCTAGTGACCCTACTAAGACGATTGAAGGAAAAATATACCTATCTCTCCATAAATACAGACGCTATATTTCGGATAACATTAGAACCACGTTAACTCCACATCACACCAAAGCTCCACAAAATCCATAAAGATAATATACCACTCAGACCGTGTTCGTGGTTCGAACCTCATGCCATAAACGCTGCAACTATTAAACGTAAGATCTGGCTTCGATATGTTGACGATACCTTCATTTTCTGGAGTTGGACCGATAAACAGCTAGACTCTTTTCCCAATAATCTTAATTCTTTGCGATCATCAATAAAATTTACTATTGAGAAAGAAAAGAATGGCTGTCTACCGTTTCTAGACGTCCTAGTAAATAGTAAGTAGAATGGAAACCTATCCAGACAGCACAGTATCTAAATTTTGAGTCTAACCATTCTGAAGCAAGCAAACTAGGAATAATTAAAACACTGTGCAAAAGAGCAATCACAATATGTAGCGACCAAGCATCTCTCGATGCGCGAATTGAATAATATTAAAAACCTATAAACAAAATAATAACAAACTGCAAGCGTGAAACAACACCATAACATGTGAGGTAGATGCTCTTTCTCTGTTGACGATCCCATACGTGAAAGGAATATCAGAAAAGATTAGGCGAATTGCTAAACAATATCAAGTTAAAACTGTATTTAAATCTGGATCAACATTAAGAAGTGTACGCACAAAAACAAAGCCTGAAACATCGACTCAAGAGAAAGAATGGATCTCTACCAGATACCCTGTGAATGCGGAGAGTCATATATTGGCGAAACCAAACGTGTGAAACGCAAAAATCAGGTATCGCAGAACATGTGTGGACCAAACAACACAACATCCAATGGTCCAGAGCGCGGGTTATTCGCAGAGAGCAGCATTGGAGAAACCGCAAATTTAAAGAAGCAGTTTTCATTAGAAACAATGAAAACATCTTCAGCAATCCAAGCATGGATATACCAACAATTTAATTTAATTTAATTTAATAAGGCGCACCAATGCTGGCGTTCTAGTTAAACTTCATGCTTGACTACCCCCGACTCTGTCACGGATGAGCGCCGTTGCATGGTATATAAGTATATAAACGACGTGTATTTTCTGAAACGCTTATGAAAAACCGACGCAGGAGCACTCCAAGAAGATTTACAAATAGTATTACAGTAGCCTGTGGAAGTTTCTTCGAAAAATGGTACTTTTGATGTTCTACACTAGAACTATTCTTATTCGTAATTTCTAGCAAATAAACCAAGGCAAAAATACATACTTCTAGGTTGAGCAATATTTCTGATGATAATTAATTTGTTCAAAACTGAGAAAAATAAAATATTTGGGGGCGCTGTGATGGCAGACAAAGAAGCAGAATCAATTTGCATTTTCCTATGGCATGCAAACAAAAATGTTGCGCTATAGCTAATGTCCGTCGGTGAAAAATGGCGATCATGTGTTGGTATTCGATTAAAGCAGCGCCAAAAGCAACAAAAGACAATAATCAATCAAACAAGCGGCACAAAGGTATACCAACCTTGCGAATAGCTCATTGCGAAGCGGGCGCATGTGTCGAGAGGCAGTGGTAATTGGGCCAAAGGACACACACTCACCTGAAACAAAATGGGAAAACGTATTGTAGATTATATCGAAATTAATTTAAGCCGGTAAAGCGAACTACAAATTCGCCCCAAAAACTAAATTTCTAGGACACCTAGACTACTCGAATTTGTCCATTTTAGCAAACGGCATACTAAAGTACCTTTCAGTTAAATTACCTAGAAATCAATTTTAATATTCTATGTTGCTGACTGAAAGATAATGATAATAGCTTTAGGTTCAGTGAAGCAAGTGTCATATGGGGGTCGGATATGAAAATGTCACATGTGTCATCGAAAATAAGTTATTATTAATGTATTTATTCCCTTCTTAAATAAGATTGCACCCCCTGCATCATAAAAATCTGGGATGTACTTGTAAGTGATGTGATTTATTATAAACTTTTAATGTCACAAAGTGCTTGAAATTGAGAATAAGTATGGCTTTATCATTACCTAGTGGTCATTATTACAAAACAATGAAGATCTGTAAGAATACATTACTTTCTGCATTCCATGTAACTTTGTCTCTCATACTACATTATTTTTGCAACATTGCAACAATAGTGACTTTTCAGAATATCATTCAAGACCGTTACACTAACACCAATCATATTTTATATTATATTTGGAGAACCATATTGCCCGGAGTTACCATCCAATTAAGAGACACAGATCTTCCTATCGCAGAAGTATCATCTGCAAAATGACAAACGCTTTTCGGGTTTTTGTTCTTGAACAGAACATTGAATTAAATAGTAGTGGTGAAAATGTTCTGCGGAACGCCGAAGTAGATATATATTTGCCGTGCCATATAACGAAAGTTTTTGTATATCACAGTATCTCCATTAATTTGTACGTATGATTTTAACCATTCCAAATGTGGACCATAAGGGTCATAAGATATTCTAAAAAAGAATCTACACCAAATGAGCTTCACTATTTTTGAAGAAGAGTCAGTCAACCGAGTAACTCATCACATGGTAATTATTCGGGTTTTCACCTCTTAAAACTAACCAGAGAATACTTCCACAATTCATAAAACGTACCAGAAAAAAACGAACTTTAGAATTCATAATTTCGATGCCAAAGTTGTTGGCTATGCCTTTAAATGATTTCATACTTTTCCAGTCCTTCAAGTTCCTAAACCTTGCATTATAAAAACGATTGTAACCTCAATTAAATTCATATATGACGTAGTAAAGGGAGCTACTACGTTGTAATATCACACTACCATAGGATTGAGGATGACGGTAGCATTCAGCTTAGAGTTATTGAATTTTCCGACTTTTCGATAAGAAATAATTCCATTTTTTTTAGTAAAATTGATGTTCCACAACTTCAACTATAACTTATAGGCTCTACAGCCATTAATATGCATAAAATGTCTACGGAAGATGTCAGGGCCATTGGGATTTTTGACATTTTGAATTATTAGAAGTGTTTTGTTTTGAAAATATTAATTAAACGGCTATTTTAAATTATTTGAAACGTTAAGTTAAATGCTGGCAAACCATTAACCGATGTTTGTTTTTATTCAACTTATTTTATGAATGAGTTGTATTTGCTTTGGATAAATTGACCTTGATTTTTGAGGTTATAATCTGCATTGCCTCAAATAACAAGTGAAATTAAATAACAGCACTACAATCAGTCATGTTGATTAATTCTTGTTCCTATTGTCTAAACTAAAAACACGATCCTTTCGCGGCAAGGTAAAGTAAAATGTACAAACCTTCCAACGACAGGTATTGCAATATTATTAAACTATTTAAAAAATCCCATAAAAGAAATATCTCATACTACTTCGACTCTATGTCGCACCGATTCTGAGTTGATCTAATAAGCGTATATGCTCGTTGAACTTGTTTAAAACTAACGTAATATCCGCCATGATACAATTAAAGTCTGTTCATAGATATAAGAAACAAAAGACCCGGCCAAGCTGTAAGAATGGAATATGGCCGAACAGGTCCGTACTTTGTTTAAAATTTTTGTTAGGAAAGATAGTAAACAATATTTATTTATTTATTTATTTTATTAATGGATTTAAACATAAATACAAATTTAAGTATTTATATTTAAATTGAAAATAAAATTGCAAATTACTTTTATTACCTACTTAAATTACTTAAAATTATTCACATAATATATCAGTATCACTATCGCTATCATCGTCTGTTCTAATTATTATTTGTTCTATATTATTTGCAATATGGATATGATTGTTTTGCTTTTTATATATGTTTAACAGAATTTGCCCAAGTATGTGAAGGGATGTTAAACAGTTCGGTTTCTATAAGTTTGAGGACATTGGAGTTAACACGGGGAATGCCAGATTTCAGTTGGTACCAAACATGTTCAATGGGATTAAATATACAGTGGTAAGTGGTAAAACTGTATGCAATAGATTTTTTGCATAATTATCACAGACGTATTCCTTTTGTAGGTTCAAGCTTTATAGAACCTCAATTAATTGCTTTTTGGTATAATCTTCGTGAAAATAAATGTCGTTATTATACATGCAGTTTTGGCTTGTTGCTTTTGTGTCACATGGGGAAGGGGTTTTAGTCAACTGTCTATTCTGATAACTTGCATTGTCCATTACAATGACGCTATTAGGAGGAATGTTTGGAACTAGTTTGTTTTTAAACCAACTTTCAAATAAATCAGCTGTGGTGTCTTCATGGCAAGCCAGAGAATAATATTTAATATTTTTCGAAGACAGAGAAAGTCCATTTGGAATCCAACCATCTTGAGAGCCCGCATGCGAAATAGTTATTCTTTTACCTCTTTTTAATGGCGCGTTTGTTTTACACTTATCAGTTGAGTCAACCCAACCCTTTTCAAGGGGTATCATAAGTGTCGAACCAGGTTTCATCCAAGTAAATAATTGGTCTTTGTTGTTCTCTGTAAATCCTAATTTTCTCTAGATATTCCAGTCGCCATTTCCGAATTCTAAAAGAGTCCATTAAAACTTGCCTTTTGTCAATTTTTTTAAATCTAAACCCCATGTGTTGAATACACTTCCATAAGGTAGTTCTGTCACATTTAACACCGGTTTCATCTTTTTCAAGCCTACTAATTAAGATATCTAATGTAGGCCCGCTTTGTTCCTCGTATAACTGGTAAATTTTACGCAGTATTATATCTTGATCACTTTCATCTACACTCGAGAAAATGTCAGCATCGCTTTTTTTTTCCTCGCTGAAATGGAAATATTCACAATTATCCATACAGTTTTCGTCAATGTGGCTGTTTCTTCTAAAGATGCTTGTTGGCTGGCACCACGTTCAATGAGAGTCAAATAAACATTGTTTATAACTTCCTTAGTCTCAATAGAATAGTGTTTTCTACATTTGGGCGGGAGCATTTCCTGAGATACACCAGATTCGCACATATTTTGCATAATTCGCACATGATTGAACAAACGCTGTATTACACACGAAGTAAGAATGATTACTAATAAACTTAAACTAAGTAGTATACCAAACCAAAGAATATTAAACACAGGTAGGTATAAAATTATTTTCTTTTACGGACCGCAATTTTAATCTTGTTGCATTGTATCATAATGACCACCCTTGGATAATCCCATTCAAAAGCAATTGGTCACTTTCTTATATCTATGAACAGACCATACCTACTTAGTGTTTATAATGAAAATGTAACGCAATATGACCGAGTCGAGGTTATATAAATTTAGACCCAAGGTACATCGCTCAGATTTGTTTGCTACTAATTTGTCTCGATCAATTAGGCTTGTTTTTCCGCAAGCATGAACCTAAACGTCGTACACCGTAAGGCTTCTACTATTTCAAAAATCAATTTACGCCCTCCGTCCCCACACGTCACACAATTTTAACGACTCAAACGTTCAAAGTTAAAATAAACCGAAAATTGTTTTTACAACTGCGGAAATCTGGCCGTTAAACTTTTAACTAATTTATGTGAGATAAAAGTGTTTTGACTCCTTTCGCTGTGTTTCGAAATATATCATAGGCTGAGTGTTTTCGTTTAAGAGACGCTTCTGGTTTCCGCTTAAAATAATAAATTATTTCGTTTGAAGTCTCGTAGTCGGTTCCAGGAGCGAAAGACACCATACGTCAAAGAGAGAGGAGATAGAGGACATAGCGAGAGAGCGTAAAGCTTTGTTTAGGTTTAAATGCTTACGAGTAACGTTTTGCTATCAAAATCAGAAAAAATATGTTTATTAAGTGCGAGTTTAAGAAGTGAGGCTTCAATCGCATTTGAAATGTCCAGGGAAGCCTGGAGAACAAAGTTAGTGAATGCTTAATAACTTAAACATTAATAATTCCACAAAGTTATGAGAACCATATAAGTCAAAAAAACAGGCAAACGAAACAAAAAGGAAATCACAGTTTTTCTGTAAAGCATTTCAGGGTTTTGTGAAAGGAGGTTAGTTAAATTATTCACTTCAGAACGTTAGCACGAGGGGTTTGCAATTCGAGAAATTAAGTGCCATGCTAACATTGAAGTTTCTGTAGTAAAGAAGGGCAATGAATGTTATTATTGACCAGCTTGTAAGATAATAGTAATTGAAAATTAATCCAGCCAATTCACACTCATTATAAAGCCAATTTTGTCTAAAACTTGCTCGTTATAACCCTTTATAAACTATTGTATAACTTTTCTCCAGCTACGATCTGGATAAAATCTTTGGTAGAACGCAATAAAAAACCAAGCATTTTTGACGAATCCATTACTATAGAGTTGCAATGTGCCGTAAATGATCACATGTTATCAAATATTATTCCTGGGTCTTTAAAAGTGTCAGTGTGTTCGTGAAGGAAACGACATTCTACTTCTCAATATTAATTTGAAGTTTATTATTTTTCACTCAAAGATTAATTCACATTAAATATGTTTGCATATTAAAGCAATCTTCAATGGATCTAGCCTCCACAAGCAATTTAACATCATCCGCATACAACAAATAGTTGATGTCCAGTGAGTCGCCTATATCATTTGTAGAAACGTTAAAAACAAGGGGC